CTGCGAGAGACCTGAGATTACATTGCAGCACATTGATTTGAAGCAGGTGCAGCTTTGAGACAGTCTCTGCTATCTCAACCACCTCCCACATTCCCGTCTGGATTGCAAACTTTCTTTTTTCTTTTCTCCCCCTTTCCCCTCTTGTCAAGAAAATTTACAGAGCTTGTCCTTCATCTCATTCCAAAGATAGAGCCTGTGGAAGGAAAACAGCCGAGAGATGCTGAACCTTATCAGGGTTTATTTCCCTGCACTTAAGCTGTCAACTGTCAGGGGCGGGATTTCCTCTTGGTTTCATTTAACTGTAGAAAAGAATTTTTTTGTGAGTTACCTGGCTGGTTCCTTTGTTATCTAATTCACAGAAGTGACAACATTTCCCCCTTTAAAATGTACTGTTTGTTCTCCTTTATATCATGCAATGGCGATAAGTGGAACGCTTACGCTGTCTGAAGTGTAACTCTCACGATAGAAGCCTAGGTACAGAGAAGATGCTCAGTGGAGCTGGATAGCCCTCAGGACTGCTGCGTAGTTCTTCCCACCATGAAGCAGATGTGATTCAGGTGCATGAAACACAAAAGGGGGGCTGCCTTTTTCTCAAGAAGAGATGCACGCAGACCCCATTCCCTCTGTTGCCCTGGTTCAGGATCTGGGGAACAACAGTTCTGGGGATGTTTGACAGCAAACCCGCTCTGCTTGCAGGACTGTTGTAAGGGAATTGTTTGCTTCCTGGATATGAAATCCACTGTAATTACAAAAGCAGGTTATTGTGTCACCCTCCGTGTTAGACCGACATTTCCAAATGTGCGTCCATCCTCGCAGGGTAGCATCAGTACAGCCAGCACTCATCAACAGCATGCTGTGTGAGGGACTAAGTGACTGGTCAGCTCAAAAAGCCAGCTCGCCAGGGCTTGCTCGCACATGTCAAGTCAGTCCCTGTCTCCAACTCGCAGCTGCCGCCGCAGTGGCCTGAGATGGTGGCTTGGTGCTCAGAGGTAGCTGCCAAGGCTTCAGGGGAGAACAGTGGGATGCATGATGCCCGTCAACTCCTGGCCAAAGGTTGAAAGACTTTTTTTTTTTTTCTGCTTTCTATCTGGCTTTAGCAGCATGGTGCTACCTTGTTTAAGGGTTTAATAGATCACTTGGGCAATTTTGTTAGACAGTTGGGTTTTTTGTTTTTGCAATGTGAATCCCTAAAGGATTGCTGTCTTAAGGATAGAGCAGGGAGCTGGAAGTCTGAGCCCTACCTGGGAAGCGATACCCAGCAATGGCTGGGAGATGCTACACTGTCTAGATGAAATGTTTCTCCTGCTGTTGTGCAGATGTGGCACAGGAACTTCCAATGACACTTGCAAAGAAATGTCACAATGATAATTCTGGCCAGACTGCTCGCAGTGCAAGAGACTGTCATGTCCAGAGCTGCAGCCGTGTTGTTAAAAATTACACAAGTAGTGCAATTGCTTTGTGTATTCAGGGAGCCAGTAATAATGAGCTCATTACCCTATAATAAACAACTTTACAAAGTGCAGAGTTCTCTCAGCATAAGGACGGGAAGTCTCAAATTTCTTACCAACGGTGTCAGGTATGTCAGGGAGCATGCGTGTGTATAAAGTGCATCACTAGAGATGCTGGCTGTAGTTGGAGATTTCAGTCTGGTGAGGTTGTGCTCCCTCTCCACCATGTGATAAAGAGGAGGCACGAAAGCACCTGCTCAGTAAAACAAGAAGTGGGAGACCAGTGGTTTGCGGTGATCCAAAGTGAGTTAAAAATCCATGATAGAAAGGGACAAGCCAATTTGTGCAAGTTGCACAGAGCAGCTAAATCCGTGCACACACCTTTGTTGATATGCCTGTTGCTCAGGCTTCCGCAGAAGAATATGTTAGTTGGTAGACCTCCAGTAGCTTTCAGTGTATTTATGAAATGAGGGGTTGCTAAACACTAGCTGTAAATTCTCCCTCGAAAGTCACAGATTCTAGAAAGTATAGCAGAAAATAGCTTGGTGGCAAAGAACAGAGTAGGCTAAAGATGAAAAAAAAAGTCTTAGCCACTGGCGTTTCCTGTCCTGCAGCTAGATTTGTTGTGTAAGTGGGCTGAAAACACACTGCAGCCACAATTTTAGCAGGAACCTTCATGGTGCAGTCTCAGTGGGGATTTTGGCTGCAGCAATGTAAGTGTCCTGTACTGTTGCAAATTGGAAGGCAATCTTTGCTGACCTGAGCAACTGGCTGAGACTTCCAGTAGGTGCTTCAGAAATGCAGTGCTGTAAAATAAATCATCGATGTATCATTTGTGCCTCCAGTACAGAGCTTCTTCAAAGCAAGCCCTTTGAATTCTTGCAGTTAAGCAGTAAAGTTTGGTTCTGAAGCTATGCATGTCCCTCCCTTCCCCTATGCCCAGCCTTCTTTCTTCATTAGCGTTCAAAGCCTAGGAATAGTTATTCCCTGTTTGATTATATCTTTGGTGAACAGCTGAAAGGTAGCGGTGTTGCTGCTCAGTGATTCCAAGATGTGAAAAGCAGGGAAAATGCTTCATACTAATCAGCTAACTGCAGTGGCAGTTGGGCTGTGGGTGTGCAATAGTTCTGTTTTTCAGGGAAGGGCTTCAGTTAAGAAGTCGGCTTGTGGTTTATTTCATCTCAGGATCAAAGTAATTTTTGCCCCTTCCCACAGCCAGATATTGAGTTTATACTGTTTTAAGGTCAGATACATGAAGTCATCTTGACATGAGCAAGAATGATAGTTGTCGCTGGCATGCCGGCGGGTTGTACGGCCAGCCTGGTGTGTTCTCCTTTGCCTGCAAACACCTTGTGTGATCTGTCTGCACGGCAATGAACGCTGAATGTTATTTTCCAAAAATGTTGTTACTGTTTTTCAGAGCAGACCCGTCTGTCTGACCACAGGTAAAGAAACCATTTGGAGTCCAAATTAATCACTTGTCTATCAAAATGTTAATCCAAATACCCCTGTCACGCACCACCCTACCTCAGCCCCACAGCACCCTCCTGCCCGCTTCAGCACCCCCTCCCACCAGCATCCTGCATGTACTGGGTGCTGCAAGGGAGGACCACTAAGAGAAGGGAGGTTCTGGAGACCCCTCAGGCCCTTTACTGTTGATGGGCTACAAGGTGGCTGCCCCACTTACTCATCAGTCTCCTCATGGTCCTGGAAGAGGAAGGAAGAAGACTGCTAGGTATGTAGTTAGGTGGGGTTTTTTCACAGGTAATTATGAAGAACTCATTAGGAGGTGAACTCCGTCAATGAAGTGAACTCATTACAGGTGAACTGGTTGCAATATGGTTGGGTTCAAATCAACTGAATCCTGAGTTTCTGCTAGTTAAAGTATTTGAGAGACAGCTGATGTTGAAAATCCTTGTCCACACCAGAGAAACGGAAACCTTTTGACGACCATATCCATGACGTGCATTATTTTCCCTCTTCTTGTCTTAGCGAGTACTTGGCTCATTCTGTCCTGAATAAATAGAACAAATGTCCCACAGCTGGATGTGAAATCTCATGGCAGTGCTGTAGGTGAGAACTGTGAAGCTGTACTCTCCCTTGTGTTTTTCTGCAGCAAGGAAGGGTGACAGTTGCTAAATGGCTTTATATGAGCATTTCTATTGCAAAATCTTGTGCTATCCTTCAGATAGATAGTGCTACACAAATGAGGATCTGTCAGGTCTGAAAGCAAGTATGGAAATTAACCACTAAAAATTGTTCCACACCAGGTTGTAGCTCAAAGGATATGTTTATGCTGTGTCATAGGAAAACCAGTGGCAGTTATGCTCCTCTTGGGACTACACCGAATAGTGCGAGAAAGCTGAGCTAAGCAGTTCTTCTGTGTATAGACAGGTCATCACTAATTACCCATGATGGTGAAGATAAGGGAATTCTGCTTGGCTTGTTAACACTGTGAAATAAGCCATGCGACTTCAGTCTGGTTTGGCTCTTCTAAAGTTTTCTGTACGATGGCTTTAGGGCAGGAGAGAATATTTCACGTTGTATAAATCAGTATAGATAAAATTGCTAATTAACTCTATAAAAGTGCTTCCTTGGGCAAAGTCTAAGAGAAATGTCCAGGGTGCCTGTTTTTCTCTTGAGTTCCTTTAGTATGTTCTCAGTCTTTATTTGGTCAAAGTATTTTGATTTGATTTTCTTGGCATTTGGGATAATATCTATTACAAATCCAGGGATAATTAGGAGAAGAAGAGCTGACTGTGTTAAGGGTTTCTCAGCAGGAAAGTAAAACTAAGCAAGGAAATTGGAAAAGGATAGGCATTAAGTTCTGCTGCAATAAACCACTGCTTTCTAGGTTTGAAGATGCATGTAGTAAGTGTTCTCAGAGCAAACTGGTAACAGTAGTTTGACTTGCTATGAGAAAAAAGACCCTATGGGAGGGACTCATCTGACATAACTTCATACATATGACGTAGCCATCCACATCTGAGCTAGTTGTATAACCTCCTTGCATAGTCACCAGAGATACAGGCTTTTTCAGGTTGGCTTGCTTTAATTCTGTGTCTTAAGTGGAGATGAAATGTGTCCAAGTATTAGTTCCCCTCTATGAACAGGAGGGGAGTGCTGGGTGATAGTTCAAGTATCTATGAGTGGTAAAATGAAACCTAATCTATGGGATGATTTCTGGTGTTTATTTCTTCCTTCTTGAGACATCCCAGTATTTTCAGCCTGGCTAGACACCTGCTTATAATCTGGGGACTTCTGAGAGTTGCAGTCTTTGCAGAATAACGCTGATTACTGAATAATGTGTGACAGCCTTTGGGGTGAGGGCCATCTCTTTGTTTTGTGTTCGTACAGCCGCAGGCACAGCAGGGTCCTGCCCCAGGATGGACCTGCTGTGCACTACCACAACACAGATAATCAATAGTAGCAGACTTAATTAGAACTTTGATCAGTCTTTCTTCCTTCTAATTCGCTGTGTTTTAAATCCCTGTGATGTCTAAATGAGGTTTGATAACAATTCTCTGTCTCTCATTTCCTCCTGTCCCACAGGAGCACATTTACAAGCTGATGAAGAGTGACAGCTATGCGCGCTTCCTCCGTTCGAATGCTTACCAGGACTTATTGCTGGCGAAGAAGAAGGTATCTGTTGGAAAGGACGTGCTTGCATCTCTTAGCACCTCTTGATTCTCGCCTGCTGCTTGCTGCTAGTGTGAAAATGAAAATATTGTTTCCTTTTTTTTCCTTTATTTAAGAAAGGAATGAGCACTTTTGTTTTCTTCACTGGGGGCACAGGGTACGGCATCTGTATGCACAGCCTCAGCATGAGTTTTGGGGAACGCGTGGTGACCCAAGGGAAAAATAATACGGAAGAGTGTTTGTCTTGCACAGCTGTCTTCCAAACTCGGTGCAGGCAATTAAAATTGTATCTGTCTCCTCTTCCTCATGACAAAGATGGTGTCTGGTATGAAGAGCAGAACCCATCGATCTATTTATTACTGGTGCAAATTTCACCCATGCTGGTTTTCACCTCCCTTGCCTCACCATGTGATCTTCCCTTTGGATGCCTTACCTATAGACCCCCCTGCAGTGATTCCCATGCTCCTTTTCTCCCTTTCCCTTGCTTTTGGCTCCCCAGAGATGTTTCCTTTTCCTTGGAGACGAGAAATAATTGCAACCCATGCGGTAATCAAGAATACCGGCCACATTGTCTCACAGGAGAAATGGGTTTGAGCTCTTCTTAGCCTTTTTGGTGTCTGCATGTGCTCTGCCAGCACCATGTTTCTGCCAGGAACCCCCAGTTCAGGGTAGCAAAGCAGTGGTTACATAGAGTTATGGCAGCTCCTGTCCAAGTGTCCCTTCTTTCTGAGGGAGCTGGGAGGTAAGCTACTGCTCTCTGCATTTGTGGTTGTGTTCAAATGCTTCCTGCACCTCCTGACTTATTCCCGTAAGTCTACATGTCCGTCTGTGTGCATGTGCACGCATATACATGTGTACGCATCCCACTTACATGTGGCTTCCAGGACCGTTCATAAACTGACTCCTGACTCCTGCAGCCTGAGCGTGTGGTTTCCCATCACCATCTTCCCTGCTGTTTTTCTGCTGCATTCTCCATGTGCTGCCAAATTACATTGCATCGGCACAATACAATGAAATCCCAGTGGTATTTTTGTCCTGATTGTCATTGTGTGCCCTAAAAGCATGCATATGGTGACAAAAGGAGACAAACCCCTCTGTCTGCTGTGCCTGGGACTACTGGCAGGTAGATTAGGGGAAGGTAATGGAGGGCAGCCGTTGGCCTTATGTTTCAAAATGTCTGGTTTGAGACAGCATAAACCAGTGCTGTTTACATTTGGAAAGGTTAGACCTGACTTAGAGTTGAGAGGCTGTGGGGAAAGAAGGAGGTGCAAGGCAAAGTCTTCTGATGGTATAAAGCATAAAAACCTTTGCCATCTTCCTACCCCCATCACCTTATGGTTCTCTCTTCCCCCAAGTCTCCATTGAACACGTGAGGGTGCATGTGCTTGAAAGCAGAAGAGTTTTCTCCACCCAGCTGAGCCCATTCAATCTGGAGGTGTTTTTTTTTCTTTTTTTTGCAATCCTTGTTTGCTGTCAGATCAAGCCCTGGATGTGTCAGCATGACATCCTCATCCCTCTGCAAACTGCCGCAGGAGCAGGTTTTGGTGTCATGTTAACACAGCCATGAAAGTAAGAATCAAGTTTCCTTTAGAAAGAGCTGTGGGTGCACGAGTAAACATAGCAAGGCACAAAAAAGGCAGGAGTAGATCTGTGCAGATGCGTTGTTCACCAGCTTCACACGATGCGGGAGGGGAGTTGATGTTGCTCCAGAATCTGTAAAGCTTTGCAATTGCATTGCATTGTGTTGGGCAAGTGAATGTTTCTGAAACAGTGTAGGTACAGAGATGCTGACAGAAAGAACAGCACGTTTCTGTACGGTAAGATCTTTAGTACCTTTGGTGCAGCTTTGAGAGGCATCCCTTTAAAATTCCTCTAAATAGCTGGAAAGCAGAGGGAAGGAAAAGAGAAACCCAGTGGCATATCAGAGCCTGCGTGGATGGAGGATTTGGTTTAGAGCCTGCATACAAAGTCCTGGATTCACTGATGTGAGTAAAAATTCACTACAGTTGTTGAAGACTTGATAAGTATGTTTCTCTGGGGCATGAGTATATCTTGCCCCAAAGACATTAGCCTAACATTGCCTGTATACTACGCTGATACAATATAGCCTTACTTTTATTACCGACAATAAGTTCTTCCAGAAGCATAGCATGATAGACTTGGGCTAAAAGAGTTGCTTGCACAAAGAAAATGAACTTCTCTATGGCTTGAGATTCACATGTGAATATTTTGTGGATAAGTTTATGTCATTTGTGATCATTTGCCCTCCAGCACTGGGTTGCGGCAAGCTGAGAGGGCAGGAAAAAGGGAAAGATTGACTGTGGCTAGAGCAGAGGACTGGGAGCCACAAAATCCATGTGCTACCCTTGGTTCCTCCACTTACTTTCTTGTGTGACCTTGGGGAAAAGAAGGTTCAACTTTGCCTGCCTCATATCCTCTTCTCTGTCGAATGGGAATAATAATAGCGACCTGCTCAGTGGGGAGGTGGCAAGGTTTGCTTGGTGCCTCAAAACATGCTTGACATTTTTGAGATTTGTAAGGTACTGTAAGTTGGAAGAGTTACTTTTCTTCCACACCGTACAATAACCACAGATGTGGGAGCTTCCCCTTGCTGCTCTGGGAGTGCAGTAATGGAGGGGAGGGAGGGAAGAGAAATTATGGGTCGGGACTGAGATACAATGACAGAATTATGAGGGGGACCAGGGAGGATAAAAGGAACATATTGTTCACACCACTAACTGATGCAAGACAGTGGACGTAGGCTGCATACAGACCAGGCATACATACTTTCTTAATCCATTTTAGATTTTTTTTTCTCCGTTCTTCCCAGTGTCATTATTACAAATAACCACAGTATTATTGGCCTTGATCCTGCAGATTCATGGAGCTCAGCGGGGAACATGAGGTTGGCCTCCAGCAAGGGTGTGATTGGAAGCAGTGAGCTGCAGAGGGGGAAAGCTGGGTGTAGCTCCCTGCCTCGCACAGAAGTCCTCCTCCCCTGCCAGCCTGGAGAAGAGCAGGGACGAGGGCAGAGCCCCGTCCTCGGGAGGAACGGCTGTACCCCCAGCCCGATTTGAGCTCTGTACCTCCATGCCTGGCTTTCCCCCTGCAGCAGGTAGAAGTCACGGGGCTGCTGAAAGCGGCCAGCTCAGTGGTGAAGGGCTGGACGGTGCCGAGATCCCCGACCGACTCATCGTGTTTTATTTGCGTATCCACGCAACACGCCCCGCTCGTGCCGCGCAGAGTCAAGCGTCGACCTGCTCCCATTCCTGCTGATACGCACCTTACTGCAGGCTACTTCACGGCAGGTAATCGCCGCCGCACCGCCCCCCAGCCCTCCTCCACAGCAGCCAAAATGGGGACTGGATGTCCTCAGAGGGCAGCACGAGTGCCCTGACAAACCTCCTCGCTGGAGGCAAGGAGGTGTTTGGGCTGGGCGACTTGGCTGCAGAGCAGGGGTCTGTTCCCTGGGGAAAGAGCAGCGTAGGTGAGTTAGTGCACCATGGAAAGGGGTGGGGGTGCCCCAAAGGGGAGCTTTGTTCAGGGTGACGGAGCGCCCAGGCACGCGCTCTGCTCGTTATTTTTGAGGAGAAAGGAGAGAAAGGAACAGAAAAGACCTTGAGGCACCTTCCATTACTCCCCGTGGAGGTGAAGCTATGACATTGGTGGGCATCTCTGCGTTAGCAGGCACCTGACTGCCAGCCGAAGCGGCAGCCGAGCTGTCGCGGCTCCGGCGTTCACGGCAGCCTGGCACGGGGTGGCTGGCGGCCGGCCGGCCCTGCCTGCAGGCAGGGGAGCGTCGCGGAAAGGCGGCCGCAGCTGCAGCGCAGACGGGCTGCGAGGCCACAGGAGTGAGCTCCGTCACACCGGGGGAAGAGCAGGTTGGTATTTGCTTGGTTTAGAGCATTGTTTTCCTCTCCAGCTGGTTCAGAGAAGGGTGAGTTCTCTTGTGGTCCTGTGCAAATGGACACAAAACAGGTGGAAAATACCATTCCAGCCATTTGGTAGCACTGTATGCGCCCTTTGCTTTCTCACTTCGGATGTGTGTAAATGACTGCTTGAGAAGCCCGGGACCTGATCTTGACCTGGAACACATGGTTTTCACCAAGTTAAAGTTCAAAAAAACCCCACCCCAAGCGCCAAAGTCTCACAGCAAAAAAAGGATTCAGTAGCCAACAAAATGAATCCTGGGGCAGAGAGATGGAAGGACGGGAGAGATTTTTGCAGACCTGCAGTTCAGAAGACCAAGCTTTTGGATGTATATCCTTACCCCTTTTCAGATCCCTGGCCAAAAGTGTCAGTAAGGCAATGGCTAGGATCTTCAAGCCATAAGGGACAGGCTCCATTTTCAGCACACACCTTTTGAAGCATTGCTTTTATCCAGACCCCCTGTCCCACCTGCTCTAGATTGTCCAGGAAGTTTCCTACTGCAGATTCTGTCCCCGTCTTAGTCCCATCAGGGGATGCATGACCAGTGATGATTCAGTGGCAGGACTTGGCTTGAATGTTGTAAAGATGCTGTGCAATTTTCTCATAATTACTTTTAATAATCAGTGTCAGCTAGTTTTTGTAAGTTTTTTTCTACTTAAACTGCTCTGTGCCAGCAGAATCTACACAAAAGAACTTAAAATTGGCATGGCTGGGTAAATGATTAATCATGAAGAAAAGGAAAATTTCGAGAAGACAGTCAATAATTAGCAAACGGCTCCGAAGTGGTGACATCCATTTTTGTGCACCTACCTGGGCTGAGAGGTTTTCATCTGCAGTGGGCATGGTTGTTTCATATTTTATCCAAATACACATGTCCTTTGCCATTAGCTGGTAGAGTCTGTTGGTGTATTTACTGGCAAAGATGACCCTTTTGCACCTAGGAGGACTGCTTGACCTGGCATGCACGTGTGTTTCTCTGCCTTTGCCCTCTCAGTGTGTGTTTGTGCAAATGCTGCTGTGGTGCTGCAGCAGGCACGGCTTTTGGGTCCGCAGCCTTTTCAGACACTCCCTGC